CTTCAGCTGAAGTAAATTATGTATACCTTCAGATGTTATTATCATTTGATTTTAGTTTTTAAAAAACACTAAAGTTTAGGAGATGAGTAAAATATTTACTTTCAATACTTTGTGCCATAAGTTAACTTTTACAGATCCGAACAATGACTCACTTCAGAGGACGCCAAACAGCGGAGGAAAATTTTTGTCGCAAATTTTCTTCATTACTAATTCAAAATTAAAAAGAAAGAAAAAGTAGATTCAGGAGAACCTAGAGTTTGTCATGAAGTTTTAGTTGTTGAAAGAAATACTTCTAAATATTAAAATGCAAACAAATAATTAGAAGGGAACTAATTCGAACTTATCATCTCGTAATTTATTTGCACTTGTATATTTAGAAAATAAAACTTTCAGTATTTGAAACTTCTTGTCTGAACTCGCTTTTTCTGCACTTAAACTTTTAAATTAGTGATAAAAGAGAATTTGTGATGAAATTTTTCGTTCTCGGTCCTCTTAAGGGGTCACATTGCTCGGTCACAAATATTGCTCCGTTCAGCACTTTTGTTTCAACTTGATATTTTCCGCAAAAACAAAGAATACTTTTGTTAAATACTTATTGTAGTTTTATATCAGATCATTTTGTCAATCGTAGCAAAATAAGCGATTGCCTGTAATTGAAAAAAATTTAAAACAATTTGTGCGATAAATTTAAAAAAAAATAGTTATTAAAAAATGAACCTAATAATTGTAAGACTTAATAAGAAAAAATAAATTGCAGCTTATTTTACTGATGAACGATTTTATCGTTCTTGCTTTAAGTCTTTTAATTTATAAAAATGTCAATAGAATGAATTTTTTCTTTTTTGTTGCTGTTGTTGCTTTGACATCAACTCAGGTGCGAGCTTATAAGATAAAGAGCTCCAGAGTGAAAAAAATTTCTACAGCAGTAATATATGAATTGTAATAATAGGAAATAATAGAAAAGACATCAAAAAATTTCCTAGATTAAAAAGTTTTAATTGTTGTAAGCACATTTATTATATGGGTCATGAAATCATATGGAATGGTGCCTTCATTAAAAAATAAATCTATCTAAATTACTTAAGTTGCTGTTAGCCTAAAAGTAATAGTTATGATGAATAATAAAATGTATAATTAATAAAATTAATAGCTTCTTCTGTAAAATATTTATTTATCCATTACAGAAAATATTTTTAAAGAGATGAAGAAAAATTATTAATAAATAAAATGTTTTTACGAAATTTTTAAAAATTTCGAAATCAGAAAAGCAAAATAAGGAAAAGATATTATAGTCTCGTCGTCAGCTGACACCATTATATCCGCGAAAAAAGAGTGCTTTCTGATATTGTATATCAGAAAGCACACTTACCAATACAATAGTTGGAGGAGCACCAAAAAAAATTGAAACGAAAATAAAACATACTAGGAAAAAATATAAAATGAAACAAATCAAGCGAAAAATTAAAATTCAAGAAAAATACAGAATAAAACAGAAAATGTTACAGATTAAGCGAGTAGTAAATGATGATTAATTAACGAGTAGAAAATAATGAAGTGATTAATGAGTAGTTAATGATAATATTATTATTTAAATTACCAAGCCTTAAATTTTGAACTATTTCTAAATTCCTTATTTAAAAGTTCAACTTTTTTTACGGAAGATTGCATAATTATAATGAGCTTTGTATTTTGAAGGTAATTACAAAATTCTCTTAAAGTTGCTTAATTGCAATTTTTGAAAAAAATTGACGAATTGTTATTGAATTTCCCCTTATTTATCAAAAATACAATTTTTAAAGTAGTAGTAATAAACTGTCCATTTCCATTCTGTTAACAATGCTAACGAGAATCCATTTGATATCTTTAAACAAAAACTATTGAAATGATTAAGAAAGTATCTTAGATTATTATTACTTGATATATGGTAAATGGGTTTAAATTTTGTGCCGTTTAATATTAAATTTCTTAGTTCTGAATTTTCTAGAATATTTAAATTACCAGTAAATATCGCGTTTATCAACAAACTCAAATATTTCTCTTCTTCATTATGACATTCATAATCATATATATTAATCTTCCCTAAATTTTTGCTAATATCATTATTATTAAAAATAGTTCTACCACGAGTTTTACTATATTTATAGCTTTTAATTATGCAAAAATCTTTTAATGGAGAATAAAAGGTAAATTTTCAAATCTATTATGAAATTTAAATATTTCAAAAATAGGGTTTTGAAAGCTAATATTTGAAAGCTGGTCTTCTAAATTTTTCTTTTTATTTTGTGAAATTTTACTCATTTTAGCTTTCATAAGATCGAAAAAAAGAATGATAGAAGGCTTATAGATATTACTTTTAAGGGACACAATCTTTCATTGGTTTAATATGGTAATGTTTAATGAAATCTTTTTCCTTAATCGAATTAAAATTTACATTTCATTTGTGACTATTAAGAGATTACTTCCTGATCCCCCGTTTATCTCAATTTGTACGCAACTTATTTTTTCTTTATTTTCTTTGTTATTCTCTCTCCTCTTTCTTTGTTTTTTTATTGTGTTGTATGTATGTATATGTACAGTACGCAAAGCAAAAAACGGACCAACCCTGAATAACTTTTGATCGAATCATCGGATCTTCACGTTCTAGAATTCAATCTTAATGATTCAAATGAGTGACCTACAATACGCTAATTTGTGAGTGCAGACGATATTTGCAATTACGAAATTCGACATAAAATTTTTTTTTTTTTGAATAAACAAACCTTCCTTCGACCGGTTTAGATTTTGGACACCCAAAATATAGGGGGTAGATCTAGAAATTAGGGTCCCTATAGTTTGGTTCACAGTTTAAACATCTTATTGTTAATTTTATTTTTGCTTATTTTGCCATGCCTCGAGAACTTTTTAATCGAATAGAAAAATTTTTGCACACAATTATAAAATTCGTTTCTTCAAAAATGAACATGAACAATTAACTTTTAGTAAATATTTTTTTAATTTTGACTATTTTATTTAATAATAGTGGGGGAAAATATAATTGGCAAAGTATATAACTTCTTACACCATTTTAAGAAGTGTAATCTTAATAGGCAAAATATAAAATATGAATGAAATCGGTTGAATAGTTACTGAGAAATCGAAATTCAAAGAAGCCGTATTTTTAAAATTCAATATCTCAAGAATTATTCCACGAATTTCGCTCAAATATTATATTTTGCGATGTAGAATTACGTTCTTTAAAATGATGTAAAAAATTTTATTCTTTACAATTCAAAACTTTTTCAACTATCATTAAATAAAATGATAAATATTTACAAAGAGTTACATTTTTCATGAAATTATCTCGAATGACGATAAGGAAGAAATGACTTCAAATGACGAAATACACAAAAAATAAATGTAACATAAAGGCCCTCCTGAACAAATTATGGGGACTCTATTTTCCAGATTGCAGTTACCCCCTATAATTAGGGGGGTTCAAAATCCGTTTGAAAAAGTATGTTAATTCAGAGAAAGTACGATTTTGTGTCTAATTTTGAAACTTAAATATTCGTCTGCACTGACTAATTGACATATTTCAGGACCATATGTATAAGCGGTTAAATTTGTCCTATTAAAATAATTATGGGGGGGGGGGAAATTCAGTAATGTTCCTGAAAAATTGAACAAAGAGCATGAAGATCCGATCATTAAATCAAAATTTATTCAAGGTGGTCTGTTTTTTTTTTAACGCACTGCACATGTACTTTTTAAATTAAAATTTTTATTCTTCTTTTAAGGGTTTTCCCCCCACATATTTGAATCTTCTGTGGTTCCTTTGTCATAAGAATAGGGAAGTAAATTTGATTTATGGAAAAGGTTTTGCCTCTTTTATTTATTCCAAAAAATTTCGATCTTAAGACGATGCAGCATCTAATCTCACACTTTTTTGACATCTAATCAAGGGCGGATTAAGAAAGAAAAATTCCTAAAACAACGGATGAAAAGAGACACAATTTCTGCAACAATGGAGACATTTTTAACTCAATAATAAATTGCATTTCTGCTGCTTACAGATATTTTATTTTTATTTTATAACCATTGCTTAAAATAAAAATCAATCAGCTGACAATTAAAAATCAAACAACAAAATCAACAGACGTCGCATTTTTTTGGGTTTAAGACTACTTATGTTCAACTCCGTAACCTTGTCGTTTTGAACACAATCTAGAAGACGAGGGAACTCTTGGATTAGAAATTAGGAGAAATTTGCCTTCATGGAGGATTTTTTCATGGAACTAACCCGCATTTGCGTTACCTGGTGAGGACAACCAAGAACCCCCCCCCCCCNACCACGAGAACCTCCCACGCTTAGCCTGACGGCAAGGGGACTCTAACCCACGATTCACCTACCACTGAGGATATTTTACGTCAGCACTGTGGTCGGTGCAAGCCGGATGCGGAATACGTGTCGACTAGGACATTATTACATTATAACCGTCGTTGAAGATCCGACCCAAATTTTTGGTTTACGACTTCTAATGTTCGATTCCGTAGCCTTGCCATTTTGAACCCAATCCAGAAGACAAGGGAACTCTTAGATCAAGTAGTGGGAGAAATTAGTCTTCGTGGAGAACTTTTTTAATAGAACTGACCCGCATTTGCATTACATGGAGAGGAAGACCACGAGAACCTCCTGCGGTTAGCTTGACGGAAAAGGGACTCTAACCCATGATCCGTACCACTGAGGATATTTCACGTCAGCACTGTGGTCGTTGCGAGCCTGGGGTGGATTCGTATCGACCAGCCATCTAGATTCGAACCCGGTTCATCTCAATGGTAGACGCTGAGATGGGTCCGCGTGGTACTTTTATACCACACGTTTCAATAATTCTCAAACGAATCAGCAAATGTTAAATTTGTTTATCCCTGCCAGTCAATATTCTTGATTTCAAGTTCTCACGTAGTTCAACAAAATGTAAAGTTTAACACCCAAAACAAATGTATATTAAAAATTTACTTACCCCGGTGGCGATAGTTAACTTCCCTATTTCGATAAAAAAAGAAAATCCTGATGAACTACAAAGTCACGTTAACCATTGAGTTTTTCTCAAAATGTTCATCGTATCCAAAGTTTCCAGATAAACAACAACAAATCGATTTCACGAGTGTGTCCTCTACCTGACATCCAATCCCTTCTATGCCAGGAACACCAACAGTCTATGTGGTTCATAAAGTGCCCTCTGGTGGATTGTCCAGTTTTGTGGATATTATTTCCTTCCACGCATCGATGACGACATAATTAAGATTGCTCCCTCTAAAATATTTGATTCGGCTTATGATTTACATGAGAGCCTCTTTCAGAGATTTCCGACATGATGGGTGATCCGGTTTCCGAGAGGCGTTTTAGGTTACCTACTATTTAGACACGCCCCCCGCTTTGAAAACCAGGAAATTCAATTCGACCCATTCCTCCAGCACACTCATTTGTTAATCCTTAAATTCATTAAAATGTAATACAAGCTTTCTCTCACATCATTTTCGCATTCTTACTCTTAAAATTGATTTAGTTAAGAACTCTTACTCTGAAAATTAATTTAGTTATTTATTTCCTCTGGTGGGGTACACTAGTACTCGGTAATATAACAGGTAGCCCAATTTGAATATTATAGGTCAATATTAAGGGGAGACATAGGCTTTTGTTATAATGAAGAATATTGACTTCGAATTTTCTCATTTTAACGCTATTCAACACACTCACATGCATTGCAACCTATAGGATCATATTGTGTACCCCTAATAGGCCTCTAATTATTTCCTCAGGTGGTTCCCGGTAATATAATACTTGATCCAGTTTTTTTTGTACACTTATTTTCACTACTTCTACTTTACACTTGCTTCTACACTTATTGTTAATACTTTTTTTGTACTCTTATTTTTACTATAATTCAAATAATAACGCATATTTTTGGATCAGAAAAAAAATAAGCAAAAACCCCTTTGATGTAAGAAAGTGGCAAGAAAATCCCCCTTCGGTTTAACTTGGGCATCAACTGTAATAATCTACATTTAAGAATTATAAGAATAAATTCAGATACGAAGTATAACGTTCCATAAAATAAAGTTTGCGCTTCAATTTGTTTCATAAAATTTTGAAATACTTTCATCAAATATTTTTCAGACTCTTTTTTATCGCATAATTTTTTTTTTAGTTGGAAAATAATATGTATTGAAAATGAAGGGAGTTTCAGTGTAAGCAAAGCACCTACTCACTTGTCAGCACAAACTGGCAAATCATAGGTGCTGACGTCTTATTTGAACTGCAACAAGCAAAAAGATCATCAAACAAAAGGAAAATGTGTAAGTTTTGATTTGCTTGGAGGCTTTTCGATTGATATCCGAACATGTCTGATATCCGAACAAGATTATATCTTTCTGTTTACGAATTCAACTTCAAATCACCTGAAGGGAGCAATCTGAGGTCCTTTCAATTTTAAACTCATTCAGTTGCAAAACCGGCCTTTCTTTAGAACTTTAAGTGTTGAAAAAAACTTTCTCATTAATTATTCCACTAAATTTACGTTTTATATCCCGTAAATCCTTCAGAGAGTAAGTTGCGCCCATCTCACCTCTTCAAGGTAATCTTCATTTGGCGAATAATCAAGAGTTTAGTTATTACTTTGTTTAACCTGTCTTTGCTTGCAAAAGTACCATGCGCCAAAAAAAAAAAATACCCCGATTAACTTTTGATCTAAGGATCGGTTCTTTACATTTTGGGACTCAATCTTAATGGATTGATGAGGTGACCTAAAATATAGTAATTAAGAAATGCTGAGGAGATTTTAAGACTCAAGAATTAAGTTTCTTTGAACAAACATACCTTTTTTTACGACAGACTCAGATTTTCGATCCCCAAATTACAGGGAATAGCCGCAATCTGGGTAATATTTTTCCCTATAGTTTAATCGGGAGAGCGATTCAAAGTCCCTTAACATTAATTTTACCATATTTCTCCATATCTCGAGAACTTTTTAACCAAATGGAAAAAATTTTGCACACACTTATAGAATTCGTTTATCGAAAGACAAGTCCATGCAAAAAATAACTTTTAGTAAATATTTATAATTTTTTATTATTTTACTTCAGAACAGTCAGTTTAGTTTAAATCACCAGTTTTGAAGCCCTATTGTTGGTGTTAAAGTAAAAAAGATCATTGAAAATGTACTTAATTGCATTATTATCACCTTCATTGGTTTCCTTTCAATTCTATTTATTATCATTATAAACTATTCGTTAGATGAAAACTTTCTTTTAAAAATATTCCTTTTCAAAAAATGTCTTTTTTCTTCTGCGAAATTTGATTAAAAAGAATCGATTACCATTCCTCCGACAGAACTTCACGGATGGCTGGAGTTATTTTATTTTTGAGTGAAGGAAATAGCGTCACCATGTGTCGGAAGTGACGCCACACCTCAGCATTGTCGCCCAGAATAACACTGTCAGTGACCGATGGACAGCTGACCCCAATGACCACTTCTCAAAATCAGACATAAAACACTTTATTAAAGAAAAGAGAAAAACGTATACAAAGATGATGACTCACAGCCATTCCAGAGAAATCACGAGAGTCCACTTTCTGATTGTAAAATAATTTTTAAAGAATTTTGAATGCATCAAACGCTAATTTTATATGCACAGTTCTCAGCTAAATGTTTCCATTCAAGGTTTCGATAGACCAGTGTTTCCCAAACTTATGACTTTTGCGTACCCTTTCTAAATTTTTCGTAGCACTGTGTACCACTAACGAAAAAATGAATGTATTTTTTACTATAAAAATTCGCACAAAAGTTAAAAATCAAAACTGGCTGTTGATACCACTAATTATTAACTGCTAACTCTGCAAAAAAGAGCCAAAAGAAAAATACGTAATCGTAAATTTTCATGGCTAGCTTTGCTTTTAAATATAAATTTTTGAAATTTTAGCTCGTTGCAAGATATTTTGCATAAGAACGAGTACCCCCGCTAAACTGTTCCCGTACCCCTGGGGGTACGCGTACCACACTTTGGGAAACACTGCAATAAACGATCGAATTTTCTATCGAATTTCTACCTTGTTTTTCAAATAATAATCTAAATTGGATATATTTTAGGGTCTATTTTTGTGCGAAATATTTTAGTTATAATTTTGCAATAGTTTGTCGGTAAGCTTCTCTGAATATAGTGCTCCAAATGAGTGAAAATGTCGTTACAATAGTTTCCTAAGGCCGGGATAGCCTGGTCGGTAGGGCGCTGGGGCCATATCCAAGAGGTCGTGGAAATATTAGTTTCTAATACTATACTCCCCGTGTAGTAAATGGTGACTGATGCACGTTAAATCTGTCGAGTCTCAAAGTCTTCTCTGTTCCCACAACAAATCAATACCTCTGGGGGTACTGATCCAGGAGTTTCCTTGTCTTCTGGATTGGTTCAAAATTACAAGGCTACGGAGTTGAATGTAAGTAGTCGTAAACCCATGAACTTGGGTCGGCTGTTCAACGACGGCTATAAAAATAAAAAAAAAATAGTTTCCTAAGAGAGTCTCCTATTTCAATAGTCTCCTATGAAAATTTCATTTGTTTAAGAATAGTTCCAAATAAACTCGTAAAGAGATGCTGTTGAAAATCATTTTATTTTATTTTATTTCATAACCGTCGTTGAACAGCCTTCCCAATTTGTTGCCTTTATGACAACTAATATTCAACTCAGTGGTCTTGTCATTTTGAACCCTAAGGGAACTCTTAGATCAAATATTGGACAACATTTCTCTTCGTGAAAGACTTTTAGAGGGAACTAACCCAAATTTGGTTTACATTACCACGAAAATCTCCCATGGCTCGTCTGACGGCAAAGGGGACTCGAACTTATGATCCGTCTACCACTGAGGATATTTTTCGTCAGCACTGTAGTCGGTGCAATCCGGATGCAGAATTCGCATCGACCAGCCATCGCTGAGATTCGAACCCGGCTTACCTCACTGGAAGGGGAGCGCTCTATCCCCTGAGCCATCACGGCTCGTCTAAAATCATTTAGAACATTTTTTACTTTTTTTGAAAATACTTTAAAAATCAACTAGTGTCAATTTATGAATTCCAAAAATTGTAAGATCGCTTGAAAAGTGACTGTTATGAAAATGAAAGACTTAAAGTTAATTGCCGTCCATGAAAAAAATTATTGGGATTCCCAGATTAACAAGAGCGTTCCATAAATGTAATCTTTCAGCGATCTTGTTATTCACCTTTGTGACATAAAATTGCTTCCGAACAAATTAGACACCGTTTTTCTCGCTTGAAGCTTATCAGTCAATAATTTTTTAAATAATTATCGAATTTAATTTATTTAATCATGCTCTTTCTACATCTCTCTATAAGCGTCATTTCTAAATCTTATAGTTTTTGTGCAGCAAAAAAAAAAAAGAAAAAATCTAACTTTAAGTTCAACCCTCAAAACAGCGGTGGCGATCAAATAGTTTACTATACTCTATTTTTAAAATTTTCTTTAAATTTTCGGGTTGTTTAAATTTTTAAAAAATTCACATTTCCAAAGTTGAGATTATCTCAAATAGAATTGTTTCCAAAATTGAGAAGTGTCTCCTATTTATTCATCAAACTAAGAATCTTTTCTAAAAGTCCTTCTCTCTTTGAAAGTATAAAATAAAATGTCTTCATTTGACTAAAAAATAGAAGGTCTCCACTAAGAAAATTAAAAACTATTAATAACAGCTATGTGTGATATATTAAGAGTCTTATTTCACTCTCTTATTTCTGTTAAGTATTTGTTTAAGAAAAGTTACTTCTCTCTAGTATGTATCTTAAGAGAACTCTATACCAAAGGATAATTTAGCGTAAACCATGAAGTTTCAAAACTGAAAAAAAATTTCAGAAATAATAAAATGAAAGCAAATGATGAGCTTATGCAATGGGCAAGTTTATCTTCCATTGCATTTTGATGCTTTCAAATTTTTTAAACTTTATTAACGAATATTTTGGGTTCATCCGGACTTACTTTGAGAGCATATTATAATGAGAATGAAATACGAATGTAAAAATAATTATGCATTTGGGGTGCAGACAAATTTAAAGAAATGGAGATGTGTTTACGAGTATGTTATTTTAAGTGTATCACTATAGAGAGTAAATGTATCAACAGTGGTATGAGAAGAAGTTAATAAATAAAGAAATATGCAGAGACTGCCGATTCAAATCAGTCTAAGAA